CGACCACAAAACAGAGTAGCGATGATCAACAACCACTTGTTTCACACAGTAACAGACCTGCCATACATACCACATACTATCACAACCTCCCCCCCCCCCCCCCAGGAAAAAAACAAAACAAACTCTAATCTAGTTGTTAATGCACCTCCATTCCAGAACCATGAAGAAGCATGGAAAGGTGACCTTATTAGGTCACACTCCGGGACCCGAAGTCAGCGCATTAAAACTCTGGCGTTTGACCGCTTGTACAACATCTGCAAAAACCGAACACCCTAAACCCTAAACTCTCAGCCCTAAACCCTAAACCATAAACTCTAAACCCTAAATCCTAAACCGTCAGCGAAGGCGTATGGCGCCTGAGGAGCTGCGAAATCGGCTCCGCTTGGAGTGCAACGAGGTGGGCATACGTGGAACGGGATCGTGCTTTATGCTGAAAGCCGGGATGGAGAGTTTGGGATCCGGCCCGACCTAAATCCTCAACCCCAAACCCTCAAGCCTAAACCGCAACTCTGAACCCTAAGCCCTAGACCCTCAGACACCGGCTATTTCGACTTTTCTTCCTTGTTACTTTCGAGTATGACCTCAGCCATTACTGAAAGGGTTTAGGGTTTAGAGTTCAGGGGTTTTGCCTCATCGGTTTTATTATTCTAGATATTTCGTGCCCCCGAGGCATGAGGGCGGTTTGAAGCCGATGGAAGACTCGGTGTCAGGGGAGGATTCGGCTCCGAAGTGAGAATGCGGCACCCGAAGCTCTCAACCCCGAGCCCCACTCCCCAAGCACCAGTACCTCGGTGAGCTTATCGGTTGTCCGACTGGCCCTAATGTGGAGGTCTTCCAACGATGCAGTTGCAGCGAAAAAGGGAGTCTTTTCAAACATCAAAGCCTAAACTCTGAAGCCCTAAACCCCGAAACCCTGAAGCCCTGAAGCTTCAAACCCTGACCCATAAAAGCCCTAAACCCTAAACCCTAAACCCGGCAAGGCCTACCTCTGGCACGGCACTGACCGGAAGTCGGCGGAGGGCATCGTTGGCGGCTTTCAGCAAGCTCTGAAATGGGGTTTAGGAAGTTTAGGGATTAGGGTTAGGGTACTGGGGCCTGAATTAGAAGAGGCTTGGGGGGCCGTGCATTGTCGAAGTTACAATGCCGAACCCTTCAGGAAAAGAAGGGCACAGATTGGCAATTAGTCGCGCTTCTGTATGCCATTGTGGCTTCGGCGGTTTACTCTCGGTTTGCGGGTTTGGGGGGAAGGGTTTTTGGGAACCTCTAAATCCGCACTTCCGGGTTCTAGTCTAGCTTTTGGGGCTTTGAGATTGAAGATCTGGGGCTGGAGACTGAACCTACAAACCAGCTCCATGTAGACTTGCTGTCAGCGCGGTGGTGATAGTTTCGATAGTCGTGGCAACGATGCCAACGCTATCAGTGACAAGATCGCCGAACCCGATCCTTCGGACCCGTGTTTGCGGTTCAGCTTAGGGTTCATGAACTCCAAAACCTAAAGCTTGAGTCCTAAACCCTAAAACCCTAAGCCCTAAACCCTAAACCCCTAAACCCTAAAATCTAAACCCCTAAACCCCAAAACCCTTAAGCCCCTAAGCTTTGAATCCTGGTCCCCAGACCCCGAAAGCATGAATCAAACCCTAAAGCGACAACCGAAATCCCTCTAACTCCTGTCGTGAAACTGCCAGTTTGCTTCGGCGTGTGCGTCGACAGTTTGGAGATTTTGGGTTGGGGGTTTTGGGTTGACGGCTAGTTAAGATAACATGCCTATGATGATGGTTATCCGTATCATTATCAACGTCGATGTCGTCGTTGTGACTGTGGCATGCGCTTGCCATTGCTTGTTAACTAGTATGGGGGCATTCGGTTTTGTGCGATTGACAGGCAGGAACTTCGGTTCAGGATTAAGCCTACGGGCCTAAGGTTTAGTACAGTAGTACCTAGCAACTTGTTGCTACAACAGCAACACGAAAAAGAGCTAACTAAGGCAATAAGGTTTCCGGCCTTGGCGCAGCCAGTGTTTTCTGCAAAGTGCGAGCAATCGGACGCAAGCCGAGGACACCACTTCGACATGAAGCGCGCGGGGCAACTTGCTTGATTAGCAGATCCAATCCATGTAGCCGGCTGTAGCAAGACTGCCGGGCAAGAGGTGCGGAGCAAGGGACGGCAATTCGGATGACTGCTCAAAAGACCCTCAGCCCAAAACCCAGGCACTAAGCCTTCAAGCTTGAACACCAGACCATGGACTCTCAGAAGCCAAGGTCCGTCAATGCAAAGGCTTTGGGGAGAGGTGGGAGATGTGGGGGTTGCTGCTTTGGGATTGAAGGAGGAGCATTTAGGGCCAATTTCCACCGGGATGTCCAAAGTTTATGGCCCAGGTAAAAGGTTAGGGCAAGGTTCTGAAAAACCAGTTATGCATAAATAGCAATACCCCCCCCCCCCCCAGCAAAAGAACAGCAACCATTCTAGCTATTGAGGACCCTGCCTTGGGTGGGTCCACTTGTGCACAGACGTCATACCAATACGTGGCTTAGTAGCCAAAGCACCTGTGGTAAGCAGAGAAGATAGATTTCAATTCCTGAACTTTTAGCAAGAATCCATCGGATCAGAATCCTCAGCAGGTCACTAGCGTTGCCACTTCCCAAGCACTCCTTGGACCCTCTGCCCTCGAGCTGTCGTCATGTGCTCTCTTAGCGCTGGGAGTGAGATCGTCGGCTTCTGTAGTGCCGGTTTGCCGAAGCCTTCATCCTAAGCCCTGCAACATTGTGAGCTAGTGGTTCAGGCCGTCCTCGTGGCTGGTTAGTCTGACTTCGATTATAGTGGTACTCGCTCTGAGTATGGCTGTCACTCTCCTCCGCCTGCCCCCTTCTCCGTTGCTTCCTCCTCCCTCTCAACAGAATCGTTATTGCGAAGTGATACTGGAAAAACACTAGGCGCGACATCCCCAGCACTGCGACGACGACCACCACTGCCAAAGAACAGCATCAACGGCCCAGCAGAAGCAGCTGCCACTGGGTGCTCCCTGTCTCTTCTTGGAACCCACGAGCGCGGGAGGCGCCTACTTTGCTGAGACCTCCTGCCTTGCCGACAAGTATTCTCCGCTTGGCCCTGACGGCCTTCACGCACCCTGCCGTCCACACGAAAGAGCGGTTGAGGTCCTCGAAGTCCTGGGCTGGTCTTGAGAGTAAACACCGTTGCTTCAGAGCATTGCAATAGGGACTCTTCGATCTGCGCTTCGAGCTTTGGGATCTTGAGCCTTGGGGTGCGGGGGGTGAGTTTGTGATGATTGGGCCAGAGTCTCGCAAGGTGCATGAGCTAGCAACGGGCTTACCAGCCATCAACGAATGCCAGACGATCCCCAGAAGCTAGAACTTCGGCACGAAGCCCAGTCAACTGAAAGAAAAGGTTGGGAAGTCCTTCCCCAGATCTTCCACCTGAACCCAGAGTCCTAAAGATGATCAGGCCTACTCTCCTCTCATGACATCGGGGCCCTGTTCTAGTCTGCCCTCCGATTCCAATACGCTCAACCAATAGTTCCCCAGACCTTATTCTCATAAGTTGAAACAGCTCCCCACGCCGAGTCTCTTCTCCTTGTCCGGGCGGCTTTGGGCCGCGTGTATGTCGAGACGCGGCAACCCGGTCGTTGTCAGAGGTTTAGGGCTTGGGAGTTGGAGGGTTTAGGGTTTAGGGTTTCGGGTTTGGGGTTTGGGGTTTAGGGTTTAGGGTTTGGGAGTTGGAGGGTTTATAGTAAAACCCAAAAAAGTTGGAAACCGGATTAAGGACCATTAGTGCTGGGATTCCCCCTACCTAGCCCTTAAAGGATTGAGGCTATGGGGTTTCCAATCTTTGGGCTTCTGCTGTAACATAGGGGCCTTAATAATTACCTATACTATTTTGGGGGGTCCTTCATCATAATTATAGTAGATATTGGACCCCAAAACCCTAGTCTAATTGTTAAGGCCCCTGCATTTGGGGTGCAGGCTTTAGGGGTGGGCCGGGCAGGCGTGGTCAGGACATGGTTTGCGGGAAGGCAAAAGCACTCGCCCTCGCACTCGCACTCGTGCTACTACTGCTCCTGCTGTTTGTGTTGTCGTGACTAGGGCTGTCGTTGTGGATTTTTCGACGCATGATTCGTCTTCGAGTTCTCACCCTCCGAGACCCAGGTAGGTTGAAGATACTGAGGTATGCCGTGGGGCTGCCAGTGAGGCTGCTGATAATGTGTTGGAAAGCAGGTACACCAAATGGCGCGGCGGCAGGCTGAAGCGGATGGTTTCTGCCAAGAACGTGGTGAAGGAGGGGAAGTACGACAGTGTGCCCCATCTGCAGGTTTTTCTACCATGGGATGCTTACGTCAATACACCCCCGAGTGGACACGGGGAATGAGTCACAAGTCAAAGAATGATCGTCTCTTTTGCCTGCTCTGTTGCCCACAGTTTCGGGAAATGGGCCAGCCCGAAAACCTCGATTCCTCAGCACAAAACGGCTAATTAGTCAAATCAAAGAGCCGGGCAATACGAACGATACTGATGCTGATAGCCGTAGTGATGACGAAGCTACCTGATAGGCTTGCAACACCAGTCATATTCACAGGGATGGAAAGTCGTCGTGTCATGCAGTAGCTTGTATTGTAAGCCTCTGAAGCCCAGCAGTGAACTTTAGAAGATGCGATGCTGAGGTGTTGGGCGATCGGAGGTATGCCTTCAACACGGATGCACGCGAGTATTGTGTGTCCAACACTAGCCAGCTCTATCCGGAGTACATGCGTCTTGGAAGCATCCAGCCCCTCCCACTCCTCGGTGGATTTCCCTGGACCATGGCTGGAGATGTGCCCGAGGCCTTACAGAATATAGAGGGCCAGAGACCAATCATAGTAGACTCTTCTGCAAAACCCAGTCAAGACTACCGAAGCCCCTAAAAGCCATAAGCCCTAAATCCCTCAAAACGCCCTGCAGGGCGATCTGAGGTTGCTTTATTCGCGGGAGGATGATGCTGCAACTCTGCCAGGACAACCAGGGAAGTGAACCTTGGATTTGTAGTTTTTTTATAGGGGCCCGAATGGCTTTTAACAATGTAGAAGCCGAAATGAACAACATTGTTCCTAAGGGTTTCCCATTACTGGTACCCTAAAACAAAACGTAGTCTAATTCGTCTGGGCCCCTAAAGTTTATATCAGAGTCTAACCCAGTCTCGCCATTCAGGCCTCTATATTTATAGGTTTGCGCTTCATCTCGCACCGCTTGAATGGGCCGTCTGGACAGTGGCTCTGGACCCCTGTGAAGATGTAGAGTCTTCGACAGCTACGGGCCTTCGAATGTCTCCCTTTCAAACAAGATGGCAGTCAGAGCCCAGACCCACAACCCCGGAAGATTTTGTCCAATGCTCTTCTCTTCGGGCTTCCTACGGTATATACACGAAACCAGCCCTTGACCGAAAAATTCCGCTGCAAGCCTTGGTGTATCGAACCTCCACTCTAATGGCTTCCAGCAGCTACAGACCGGAGGGCCCGTTCAAGGCAGGTTCCGGGCAATGACTGGGCTTGTCTTGCTAATAACATCCTCTATATTTCTAACATTGTTGTAGTTTCAGCCTCCGCCAACATCAGCAACAGCAACAGCAACGGCAACGGCAACGGCAACAGCAACCGCAACCGCAACCGCAACCGCAACCGCAACCGCAACCGCAACCGCAACCGCAACAGCAACAGCAACAGCAACAGCAACAGCAGCCTCGCATACATGCTTGGCGCAAGTAGTTGTCCAGCTAGCTCTGACGTGGGGACCTTCATGGCCAGCAGTGCTGTCGAGCAACGAGTTTTGTAGCGCAACAGCAACAGCAACAGCAACAACAACAACAACTAAAACTACTGCTCTTGCTGCCACTATCACTACTACTACTACTACTACTACTCCTGCTTCTGCTACTGCTACTGCTACTGCTGCTGCTACTGCCACTGCCACTGCCACTGCCACTGCCACTGCCACTGCCACTGCTGCTGCTGCTGCTGCTGCTGCTGCTACTGGTACTGGTACT